GGACCAGCAGGTTATTTCAAACTTAAAAAATCTACACCAAAGCAATGTTTCAAAGGTGCTTTAATGTGACCTCAGACACTCGCTTGACCCTAAAAGATTTTTGGAAAGAACACTTCAGTATTCTCCATTGCATAAGCCTTATAGGTAAGGCTTGGGAGGAAGTGACTACCAGGACTTTGAACTCTGCTTGGAGAAAATTGTGGCCAGACTGTGTCCACAAGAGATATTTTGAAGAGTTTGAGGCAGCCCCTGATGAGCCTATGTCAGTTGTGAACTCTATTGTGGCACTGGGGAGTTCCATGGGGTTGGATGCGAGTTTGGTGGACGTGGAAGAGTTGGTGGAGGACCACAACGAAGAGCTAACCACTGAGGAGCTGCAAGAGCTTCAGCAGGAAGAGCAACAGGTCGCAGCTCAGAATCTTGCTGCAGAGGAGGGAGAGAGATGGAAGAAGGTGCCTTCTTCAGAAATTAAGGAGATTTTTGAAATGTGGGGTAGGATGGAAAGATTTATGGAGAAACATCACCCTAATAAAGATGTTGCAAGCCATATCAGCAACTTGTACAGTGACAGTCTTGGCCCATTTTAGGGAAGTTTTAAAGAGATGCCAGAAACAGAGCTCTCTGGACAGTTTTTTTTGCGAGACAGGACTCCAGTGACTCTCAACCTGGTCCCAGTGGCATTAAGAAACAAAAGAGACGTAACCCCAGAAAAGCACTTGGTACCTGAGGTGTTGAAAGAAGGGGATTCCCCTTCCAAACAGTAATTCAATGTCTCTCCTCCTCCAGTCTTCCATACACTAAGAAGAATCGCCAATAAAGGTAAGTGTTATGCTGTTAATGTTTCATCATGTGCCATTGTATTGTTTATGTACTACATCTATATTTCATGTAAAAAATTTTTGTTTTAATACTTCTAGGTGTCAGGAACGGATTAATTGTATTTACATTATTTCTTATGGGGAAAATCGATTCGAAAATCGTCTATTTCCACTTCCAGGAACGGATTATGAACGATAATTGAGGGACCACTGTATATCATTATGTGACTAATGGTGTCAGCCACTCCCAAGGTAAAAATAATTACTGCTCTGACCATATCTTCCCATTCTTGCCCTTTGACGTCTTATAGGAGAAATCAGTTTGTGAGGCTAGCTATACTAGATCACTAGTTTCATAAGGAAAACACAAACAAAAGCAATTTTCTCGTGTTTTCTATGATTTCATGCTTTAATTCAAAGATCATCATCTCAGCACTGTTCTTTGCCCTTACACACTTTCTTACGACCCATTTTTAGAAAAAAGAAATTTGGCAAAATAACTGCACAAAAAGCACAAAACACAAATATTGTGGCATTCGCTGTGCCAACTAGTGACGGCGTATCTGAAGCTCGCTCTTAATTTGGATTTTGTCTTGCAACTCAAAGCAAAAAAACTGACCGAGCGACGGCTTGTAACTCGGAAAACTCTTAAGCTGAGGCACTCACAAGTCAAGGTACCACTATGTCCAGAAGTCCACCAATACGGCTAAGTCAGTTGTACTGGGCATCTATTCATGTCTGGTAGTCAACCAATTAAGAACACTACACCGGGTTAATCGAAACTTTCAATACAACAGATTTTTCAGTATGCCTCTGTCCTGAGTCCATACTGTGTCCAGTGTTCTGGCCCCTTCCCGTCTTCTTAACCTTACATTTACCAAGGATAAACTGAAGCAACCACTTAACTGACCAACGATGAAGTTTACATGTACACTGTGCACAAAGGATGCCAGCATTAGTTTTCTCTGAATGGTCACATCATCAATGCAGCAAAATTTTGCCATGTTGAAGGTTTTGACTAGTCAGGCTATGTCAGCTTGCTTGACTACCAGACATGTACAAATGACAAAGAATCTATTTGGCATTTGTACACATCTGGTAATCAAGCAAGTTGACATAGCCTGTCTATAATAATGTTGGTAGAATTACCGACAATATGTAAAGTAAAAGGACACAAGCACAACTAATGTGACATTTTTATTGTGGCAACATTTCGCTCTCCAGGAGCTTTGTCAAGCTGTTACAAACAGTACATGGACACAGAGGGTATATATAGGCTCAGACGTGCAATACTAATGGCAGTAGTAGTAATGATGTAAGTTCTAGTAGTAGTAATACAATATGGTAGAACAATTAACTTGCACATGAGTAAAAGGATATAAAAGCTATTACTTGGGTAACAAAATTAGGTTAGACAAATATTTGTATAGAAGGCTGGATAGAGAAGGCCTGTTTCAAAAGTACTTTCACAAGCTAACACCAGAGTCACCATTGCTTCCAGCACTTCAATAAAGGATCTAACCAAGACAAAATCAAAACACCACAAACCAGTCAACGCAGGGGTTTACACTATACCCTATCGAGGCTGCGACAAGATTTATGTAGGTGAAACGGCAAGAAACCTCGACACCCACCTTAATGAACACATTTATGCATGTAGGAACGACAACTTGAACAACGCCTGCATACAACACCAAAATTCCACCAATCATCTCATGAAATTCAGGGATGCCCAATTAGTGATCAAAAACTAATTTCTGCAGACACAAGTGCCTTGAATCATCACTAATCGCCGTTTCTAATATGATTAAGCAAAACAAAGGCAGCTTCACCATCTCTGAAGTCTTAGCAAGAATCTTCCTGAAAACAGTAAACCCTGCCATTACATAGTCTCTCCTACTACACAAGCACATTACGAACATTGAAACAGGCCTTCTCTATCCAGCCTCCTATAGAAATATTTGTCTAACCTAATTTTATGTTACCCAAGTAATATCTTTTATATCCTTTTACTCATGTGCAAGTTAATTGTTCTATCATATTGTATTACTACTACTAGAACTTGCATCACTACTACCACCACTCACTCTGAGCCTATATATATATACCATCTTTGTCCATGTACTGTTTGTAACGGCTTGACAAAGCTCCTGGAGAGCAAAACATTGCCACAATAAAAAGTCACATTAGTTGCACTTTTGTCCTTTTACTTTACATAGCGTGACTAGTCAAAACCTTCAACATGGCAAAATTTTGATTAAGAGGACACCCTCCCCCTTCCCACATTAATCCATTTTATAGAGGTTTTCACTATTTCCATTAGGGGTTCATCAGTTACAACAGCTTCAAAGGTTTTAAGAACATAAGAAAAAAGGAACACTGCAGCAGGCCTACTGGTCCATGCAAGGGAGGTCCAATTCTCCTACCAGCTTAAGCTAATGCCCTAACCTAGTCAGGTCAGGTCACATTCCCTTAAGGAAGGCGCACAGCATGACCTAGTTGCACAAGCTGGTCAGGTCGAACTCACACCCACTCGTGTATTTATCCAACCTATTTTTAAAACTACACAACGTCTTAGCTTCTATGACAGTACTCAGGAGTTTGTTCCACTCATCCAAAACTATTACCAAACCAGTGCTTTCCTATACTCTTCCTGAATCAGAAATTTTCCTACTTAAAGCCATTGCCGCGAGTCCTGTCCAAGCTAGATATTTTTAGCACGTTATTTACATCCCCTTTATTTATTCCTGTTTTCCATTTATACACCTCAATCACATCCACCCTAATTCTACGCCTTTCTAGAGTGCAGATCCAGGGCCCTTAGTTCATCCTCAGAAAAGATTTCTGATACATGGGATCAATTTTGTCATCCTCCTTTGTACGTTTTCCAGTGCATTTATATCCATTCTGTAATACAGTAACCAGAACTGTGCAGCATAATCTAAATGAGGCCTGACCAAAGATATATACAGAATTTAAGAACAACCTGAGGACTATTATTTATACTTCTTGATATGAAGCCAAAGATTCTGTTAGCTTTATTGCGAACACTTATGCACTGTTGTCTTAGTTTCAGATTACTGCTAACCAAATTCCTAAATCCTTTTCGTAATCAGTATTATTAAGATCTACAATATTTAGTTTGTATGTGGCATGGTTATTTTCCTGTCCAACATTTAGAACTTTGCTTTTGTCTATATTAAACTGCACCTGCCACTTTTCTGACCACTGCATCAGTCTACTCAAACCATCCTGGAGTGCTGTCCTCATTAGAATGAATTGGACAACCTATTTTGGTATCATCAGCAAATTTGCTTATGTCACTATTTATTCCCTCATCTATATCATTTATGTAAATTATAAACAGGGGGGCCCCCAACACTGACCCCTGTGGAACACCGCTTGTGATGTGCCCCCCATTCTGGGGATTTGTTAGATTTTAATTTCTCTGTCTGAGGACCACGTCACTAGTTACCCCAATCGTGCATATTTTATTTTTGTCCTGTTCTACATAATTTTTTCCTGGAATTTCGCTAGTATCTTCCTGAGTAAAAACTGAAAGGAAGTAAGTGTTGAAAAGTTCACACATTTCCTTTTCACTGTCAGTGTCTGACCTGAGTTACTCTTAAGTGGGCAGGTGAGCTGAAAAATACTATTACTGTACATGGTAATTGCATTCTCTCAGAATGGTCTATCCTATACACAGGAGATATGAAGTTTTTATGAAGACAGCAGAGGCATTTTGTTATTAATACAATAGTAACATATGACCAGCAACTGAATACTAAATTCTTTCTTCAATGAGCCTGTGACACACTTGTAAGGAATAGCCAGACTTGTCAGGCTTTTCTGCTGATGTTTGTTCAACCAGACTGTTCCTGTTATTAGAATGCTGGCTCTAGTTTTCCCCACAGCATAAGTTGGGTTGTCATAAGAAAAAAATGGAATTTAAGAAAACAAATCATGCCGGTAACATTGTTACACTATATACATACAAGAATATGCATTTCTGTATGCAAATCCCATGCAGTTAATTTAAATATCAACACACACTGCATGATACAGTACACTGACAAATGGCAAGTCATATCAAGCAGGGACAAACTAGCTCAAGAAAGCTCTACTCAAAACTTCATACTAATTCTACCTAGAGAAATAAACTGAAGGAAAATAACCACTTACTGAGGATGCCACCAGCAATTAAAATGTCGAAAAGTGTTTCTCCGTAAGTGCGATATTTAAGCTTAGATCCGGCCTGGTCAAGGTATTTGTTGACAGCTTCTAAATCTGAGCCAGCGTCAATGAGACCCTGAAACATAAGCTTAATTAACAAGCTCATCTAACAAATATTAATTTTGTTATTAACTATTTTATAGCATCAATAAGCTAAGTAAAATTTCACAACCAATTTTTAACATTAGTACACAAAAGCTGGAGCTCCCCCCCCCCCCCAACAAGCTTAACCCTTTCACTGTCCAGACTACTGAAATTAAAAATGCTTGTAGTGTCCACATTTTTTTTTTTTTTTCAAAAAAACTATTATTTCTTCTGAAATGGTAAAGAATCTTTTTCTGAAGGTAATGACACCAAGAACTCAAAATTTGATGCCAAACTTATGAAATTGGGCAGGTGCAAAGTTAGCAAGCTGGACAAAATTTATACATCAAAAAAGCCAATATTGCCAGTACTTTAAAGCCAATTTCAAACTATTTCCAGTCCAGGAACAAAATAAAATTATCTATTTCAGTAGTATGTATTCCATTCCATCAAATGATATCAAGAAACAACCAATAAAGCCATCCTAGGAAACACCTCAAAGTTGCTATTTTAAACCAAACACAAGGTCCAAGTTTTGCTTTTTCCCCATCATGCATCAAGGCAGGATTTTTTTTATACTGTGCACCCTTGTGTCATAGACCCATTCTCTCATATCTAGGCCAAAATTTATCACTCGGCTTATCCAAGTGAGCTGAGCTCATGACAGATCTAGGTGAAGAACCCTGGCGTTAATATCATATGGAGGCCCTCCACATTGGCGAGGGTTAGGGGATGAAGAACCTCGTGAATCTTGAAAGTTCGTGAATGCTTGGTGCACAAATATGATGTAGGGAAATATAATAATAGCATTTACTTAGCCTAACAATGTTGCTTCTTTAACCTATTGAACCACGAACAATCATAAAACACATGAGAACTTAAAATATTTTATAAACACGTTATGCCTGGGCATTTGCAAACGTTTGAAGCTCGTGAAAGTGGAGGGCTAGCTGTAGTTCTACTTGACAGTCAGTGAAAAAGTTAAATGACTAATAACTATAAGGACTTACATCTATAAGGAGTAACTTTCATGCAACTCATACTAGTTTTTAAAACTTAAAAGTTTATTACTACTGTAGAAATAACATTTTATACTCCCAAGTACACTGTACATACATATCAATGTAATTACCTACTTGTCTTAAGCACTTGTAGCAACAGGGGCAGAGCTATATCATGGTGTCACATCTTGATAACACATTCATCGTGCATTTTTATATTTACAAGTTATATATTTACAAGCATTACTAGCCCCTCCAGCAGCAAAATTTAACAAGACAACTTATAAACTGCTTCCACTTTCAATTTATCCCATTCTACCATTATTTGTTAATAAAACTTACCAGTATTCCTTCAGATTTTATATTTCTTAAATTTATGTGGCTTTCTGACAATACACAAGATGTGTTTACATTGGCAAGACTAACAATGTACTTCTCTCATGTTCAAAATCATAGCCATCATAGCTATTAGTTGATAGCTATGATGGCTGCAACTACCTTTCTTCTAGCCCTAAAAGACACAGTCTTGTTGAAACAGCTTTTGTAAACAGCTTTCCTACCATGAACCTTAGCTCTGGCACTGTTTCTGTAGATGCCCGTCTTTCCCAGTATACTGTCAAATGCTTTAGTCCCTTGAACACCCATGACTTAACTTAACCTTTGCCCTCACCACTGCCTCCTCCCCTTCCTCTTCCTTTGCCATCTATATTTTCATCATCATTCCTGTCTTTGCTTTTGTAGGTTTTTGTCCTGCGAGGGTCTTTTCCTATGCCCGTTGGCCAGTCGTCTTATACAGTACTTCTTTCTCATTCTTTTGCATTATAAATTGTTTCCTACTGCTGCTGCTACTATTACTTTTACCACCTGGTTTACCATTACTAATATTGCTGCTGCTACTTCTTTACTACTACTACTACCTCTACCACCACCACTACTACTACTATTACTTCTACCACCTGTTTCATCATTACTAATACATACTGCTGCTACTTTACTACTACTACTACCACCATTATTCTCTCTTCTTGCCTCTCCCCCATTCTCCCTTCTGGCTTCTACATCTTTCAGCTGTGATTTGACAATGGTCCAGAATAGATCGAATCATTGTAAGGTTTCTCCTTCAGCCACTGTGCATCTTTAGTGTTTTCAGCTCATCATAACTTTATCTCTCTCATGATCCATTTTGTAATTTTACAATTTATCCTTCGACAAGTAATCTATTTTTCTTGAGGTGTGAGCACCACACAATAGCTGCATATATCAATTTACATTACGAACAGCTTTTTCACTCTCCATCCATATAATATTTTAAAAGATATTTATAGTTTGCCAATGTAGCACATGCCTTTCTCAGAATTTTATTTACACAATCTTCTGGTTAATTTTTTATTAACTTCTAGATCCCTTTCTTTATACAATACAGGACTCCCAAACTTTTTTTTTAACAATCTATATTATTGTGATCAGATTTCATTTTCTCCCATTACCATTACATTTATCATTATTATATGCAACCATCCACTTGTCATTTGCATAATCTATCTAAAATATTTTATAAGAATTGTCATTCTTATTTATTTTGCACAGAAATAATTTTTTGGGTGACTAGGCAATCTGACAAAGAACAATCTTTACTCCACAGAGAAGGTAATTTACTCAAAAACTTTTATTACAGCCAAGACAATAAGAATAATCCCCTAATAGGTGTAGCAATGATCCCAAAGCCATCAGTTTAAGAGTTAATTGCTGAGTGTGTCCAGGAGCTAGAGCACAGTATACTGTACATACATTTCTGTGAAAACCAAATTTTGGTTTAGAAAAACCCCAAATTTTAAACATGACACCAAAGTTTTGCTGATGCATTTGAATTAAGAAACATCAAAAAGTCCAGCTCCCAGATATCACTGGGAAGAGCGCATATGAATGTTATCCTAAGTGGTAACATACCTGTAAAATTGCATCACGAAACCCCACAGGGTCGTATTTCGCTTTCTCATCTCTCTTTCGAGTCTTTATGCGCTGCCCCTGGAGCGTGGGTTTTTCAGCTTTAGTAGTCATACAACAGACAACTGCAAAACAGAAAAAAACTGAAATTAGAAAAAATTATGCTATGTAATCAGGCTGACTTATTATATTTACACAAGAAAATATTTTAGTTCTTAAAAGCTCTTGCAAGCACTTTCCAGTTAAACTTGAAACTCACTGTATAACAGTAATGCATGAACTCCCACACCTGTTCAACATGTTGCGCGCACACTTTTTCCCATGCAACCATCAAGTACTTCTTTATTCATACTTTAACAAGTCTTAAAACCTTTATTCACATACTGCAGTTCCTACAAATGACTCCATCAATATAAAATTGCATTGTTAGTAAATATTCAACTATACACCATACCTCTAACCAACTTTTCCTTCAGGAATACAGTATTAACAATTCTCAATGCCCAAAATACATACAATTACTACAAAATACAGAATATTAGACAACAGCTGGGACTTATTTATGCAATACTACAGCACTTATCCTTGATGAAGGAAATGGGATTGTTATGCTGCAGTGATTCTGAATGGCCCATCTACAATACACTGGCCTGCTTGCGTATTAATGCAGCCTTACCATGCTACAGGTCCTGTTTTCCAATTAATAACCAGTGTTTACTGCAGCCAACTGACACAACCAACAGTAAACAAGGGTTAAGATAATGCATGTTAGCTATATTCCCCAGATTTCATAAACCAAGCCAGCACTCAGATACAAACTCTGACCTGTCAATTATTTAATAAGAACTTGTGAAAGGAGAATGTGCAAGGTTGTGTGGGAATGGGGAAGGACACTAACATACTGCAGTGATAAGCAAACTAAATATTAAAAGCAAATATTAAGAATTAAGTCTATTTTCCCTCCCAACTGGAATTCCCACCAGCTCCTACTTGTATGAGTAACACTGGTTCCCTATAAAGGCAAGAATATGTACAATCTAACCTGTTTATTAACATTAGCTATTAAAGTTTAATGAAAACAAGTATCTTTCCAATATAAGCTTGTATCTTTTACACTGGTCTTGGGAATGTTACTGCCAATCGCCAAAGACCCTTTCAGATTGAGCCTCGTGCTGTTGGGGAGAAATCATTCGAAGAACCTAGATTGTTCAACAGGTTGCCAGTGTTTAGAGTTGGGAATCAGTTAGTGCTTTCAAATCCAAGTTGAAAGCACATCTCTATTGTAGATCCTGATGATGATAATAAAGTCACTCATGAATATACAATAAACTTTATTTTCTCTTCACTGTTGTTGCATTTATGACGGTGTGCAAGTTCTGATTTTTTTTTGCAAGAAAAACTGCAAGAATAACATCCCCACATAAATTACAGTACAGTGGACCCTCGAATTTCATCAACCCTTTTCTGTATGTAAAAGTACTGTATAGTTGTTCTCTATAAAATGTATTTTTTGTTAATATTTTTGGGTGTCTGGAATGGATTAATTGGATTTACATTATTTCTTATGGGAAATATTAACAAAAAATACAATTTATAATGAATAACTATAGTTTTAGTTATTCTCTATAAAATGTATTTTTTAATATTTCCCATAAGAAATAATATAAATCCAATTAATCCATTCCAGACACCCAAAAATATTAACAAAAAATACATTTTATAGAGAATAACTACAGTTTTGCATACAGAAAAGGGATGATGAAATTTGAGGGTCCACTGTATTATTACAATTTTTTATTGCTATCATTATTAATATCACTAATTATTATTATTCAATTCAAATATTCTTACTGCTCTGACCAGATTCTCAATCATTACGTAAACAAAAGGTCTACCTCAAAATCCACTCTCCCTAAACTCTGCAATTTCTTAAAATAATGCAGTACTATTTCCTTTACACATAAGACACCACAAGACATTCTTCACCACAACAGGTAGGAACCGTCATCCTCGCTCTGAGGAGAGGATGAATGCATCTACTTGGGAGAACAACACTGCTGTACCTAAGGGCTGGAATAATCACCACACACAACTCCAACCATATCTTTTCCTTCAAATCCTCCAAAACAGTGAACTTCAAGTCACTGCCAAATAAAAATCCCAAGAGGAATGTACCGAAAGGAAAATGGGATGAGAAATATGAAATTCTTTAAATCAATGTTAAATGTTAAAATGATCTAGTAATTGATCCTGCACCCCCTCTGAGAACTTTTCATTTATTCAGCCCGAGATGCCCAAGCAACCTTATTTTATCCAGTTTTACAAAAGGCTACACTAACATGGTGTATTAAAACCTCTGACACACAGCACACCCAGAGGATACTGAAAGCAAGCAATTCTACAGGAACTGTATCTTAGAAATGCAGTATTGGTTAAAAAGATAAAAGTACAAAGTTTTGTCATTTATGATTTTTAACATTTTCTAGGTACAAGACTATTTATGAATCAATTACAGTTATGCAAGAACATTTTATAAATTATATCTAATTGTGATAAGCTTCTTACACTAAAAAAATTGAGAGAATTTTTACAGCAAAACTTTTCTTTACCACAGTAAATACAATAACATATGTTGAGGCTTAAGCTTTATAAAATGTTGAAAATTAATAAAAAATAATTCCAAGTCTTCAGTAAAATCAGTAGGTAGCTATAAAAAAAAAATTAAATAAATAAAACCTGTTCACTAATGCCCTCAATCCGGTCTGACTTTATTAAACTTCAGGGAGTGGAAGGTATATGAATGGTAACTATTACAAATAACAGAAAAGTTTTGTCATTCATCTCTGTGCAGCAGAAAAGCAGGTTTCAAGCAATAGGGACTCAAGCAGCTAATAGGCATGTACATATGAGCTTTTAGAATCCGACATGGAACGAAGAAAACTTGTGAAAGTATTCTGGAAAATCGGATTGCTGAACTTTAGTCTGGGAGGTGAAGTACTGCCTGCAGACCTGCACTCCTGAAAGCCAGGTGGGGATATAGTACGTAGTTCGAAGGGTCAGTTCAATTACAATGTCTGCACTTCTGGCAAGACAGTTACTGAATAAATGATTGAGTGCTTCCTCCTTTAGGTCACCCTTTTATGGTGGGAAATGGATGGGATAAAAAAACTAAATTGTGTGATTAAGAAAACTTTGGCTCTGCTTAGCACTGTAATGCTGCATCTCCTAGCAAGTAATGAGGGAGCTCATTAAAATACTATTCACTACACTAAGTACAGAAACTTGAATCATTTTCTAAAGATGAATATCAAAGATTCACTACACATTTCAAATGGGAGAAAAAAAAAAACCTACCAAGTTGTCTTTGCATGCATGTGAGACTATATATGGGACATACAAACCAAAGAGCCCTTTAAAAGCTACCCTAATCTAAGGCACTCACACCAATGCATAAACCTAGCCACTAAATAATTTAGAGATCAAAATATGAAATAAAAACAATGAAGATGTTACACTAATTCCACTTCAAACCAACTTGTAGCATATAAAATCAGCTTCACATGCTTAGTCATACATGCTAAATGATTTAAGCTCACCAAAATTACCAAGTACAGTACCCTCTATTATGATAACCAGCTTTAAAAAAAATGAAAATAGTCTTAAATTACATTAAAAATCAGCATTCATTTTCAACAAAGCATACAAACATTTAAAGTACAATAATATTACCAATAATGAGCCAACAATAATTAGCTTTTAAGCTAAAACCAAATTACTAAAAGTATCAAGCATAGTTTTGGTTGTATTGTTTGGCAAGATATTACCAGAACAAACTCCAATGAAGCACAGGAAAAATAAACCAATTTTTATCTAAAGATGCAAATATATGTACAAGAATTTTAAGGGAAGAACCATAAATTGTAAAAAAATAAAAAATTAGAAGCAGTTCAATGTCACATGGAAAACCAGAAAAAAAAAAATGGTACAGGAAACAAGAGCAAGTGATGCATGCCAAAAATATCCCCAAGAAGCATACCAAACACAGATCAGTGTACTCTATTCACCTACAGGTGTATTGGTAACGAACAAATATTTAACAAATATGACTCAATTCTTCACTGCGTTTGCTACTATACACAATAATTCAGGTACCAACTTGAAATTGTAATACATTCATTATAAGATTCTAAAATTTTCAAGTGTATGCCCCTTTTATGATCAAAAGCAGCACAGGCAAGCCTTGTTGCAAGTGACATTCTCTTTATATTACCTCACTGAAAGTGGCCCTCTTACCCAATATTTATTTATATAAACCTAACATCAGTGCTAATCTTGTAAAAAAAAAAAAAAAAAAAAAATTACCATACAGGTATTACTCAAAGTCTCACCAATATTGGGAGAGTATTAAAGTGTAATACAGTGGTATGCATTCTGTAAGATGGAATGAATAACTCATTCTCAATTCAAATATTTTTTTGCCTTGAATTCTCCCCTTATTTACAAGTTAACCCCATTTTAACGTGTTTTTTTTTTTATTGGAACTAACCAGCACTGTTAACGGAAACTTGCCTATATAGTATGTACTAACCAAGGAGAATGTCCAAAAAAAATTTCACTGCACCAGTGGCGTATAGTACCTGAAATTGCCTTGATTTTAGTCTAGACCCTGAAGTCTCCAGTACCAAAACATGATTTTTATCTTAAAATACAAATCGCCCAACCAAAATTTGTCAAATGTAAACACTATACTGCAAATTTAAACATTCATGATTTTACTTTCCTGCTGCTATAAATACAGTATTAAATTATAATAATGAAATGCCAGAAATGTGACTCAAATCCACATACAGTGGACCCCGCTTAACGATCACCTCCCAATGCGACCAATTATGTAAGTGTATTTATGTAAGTGCGTTTGTACGTGTATATTTGGGGGTCTGAAATGGACTAATCTACTTCACAATATTCCTTATGGGAACAAATTCGGTCAGTACTGGCACCTGAACATACTTCTGGAATGAAAAAGTATCGTTAACCGGGGGTCCACTGTACTTGTATATTAATACAAGTTTCTCGTATTGGATTTCAAAACAATTGCATACTCAGGTTTTATGGCCAATAACAG